TGTGGAGGCAAAGGGTGAAAAAGGCCAGTGGTGCCCTTTACGCATGTAAAAGGATGCTGGGTACCACATGGGGCCTATCCCCTGGCCTCATGCATTGGTGTTACACAGCGGTAGTTAAGCCGATATTGCTCTACGGCGCTCTGGTATGGTGGAACGCTGCAAACAAAATTTCGTATAGAAAACCATTGGAGCGATTACAGCGGCTCGCTGCACTGTGCATAACAGGAGCGCTAAGGACCATCCAACGGCGGCACTTGAAAGGCTACTTGACCTACCACCAATCGACATCGCGGTGGAGAGCACTGCAGCGAAATCCGCCACGAGATTGATGGCCTTAGGTGAATTCTCCGCAAGAACCTTCGGGCACAGCTCGATGTGCAGGGGATGGAGGACAAAATAGACCACATACCCCCACGCTTCATCTGGGAAAGAAGGTTTAAAGCTACGGTTAAGGAGGGCGGATGGCGCATGAGCACGCGACCCGCCAGCGGAACGTATAACATCTACACGGATGGATCAAAAATGGCTGATGGAGTGGGCGCCGGAGTGTATTGCGCCGAGCTAGACCTCAGGCAACCCTTCAAGCTTCCAGAGTAATGCAGTATTTTCCAGGCGGAAGTCTTCGCTGTAGGGAAAGCGGCTGAGATAGCTAGCAACGCAGAAACTATATAAAAAATATCAATATATATATGTCGATAGCCAGGCGGCGATTAAGGCCATAATCTCACATCGTATTGCGTCAGAAAATGTCCTTAGAAGCAGGTAAGCAGTAGACAGGGCGGCCGAGAATAAACGGCTGCATATATACTGGGTTCCAGGCCACAAGGGTATTTTAGGCAACGAAATAGCTGATGAGATTGCCAAAAGTGCCATCCGTCTTGCTAGCGAACCAGTACGGGAAATACAAAAGTCGCTAAAAACGATCTATAATGAAATTTCCGAAAGTGCCGGATCAGGGGGAGATGGAACGCATTAGCGACATGCAAAACCACCAAGATCATGTGCAACAGCAGCAAAGGAAACACCCATTACTTGCTTACACGGTCACGTAGGGATTGCAGGACAGTTGTCGGCCTAATGACGGGCCACAACCTACTGGCCACCACTTACTGGCATCCCACGCAAGCAGAATGGGCATTAGTAACAGTGACACATGCAGGAAGTGCAGGGAGGAGGGCATGAGTGAGACGTTAGAACACCTCCTCTGTTTCTGTCCGGCCTTAGCTAGAAATCGTCTTAGATATCTCGGAGCTTCGCAGTTCAAAGGACTAGAGGAGGTTTCAAAACTGGATATTAAGGCACTCTTGAACTTCGCAAAAAGCGGTGACGTCCTATACGACGACTACTTTAGATCGCAGTAAATCGGACCTCCATCTGGCACTACAAAGGACCAACGGGTCTATGTAAGACGCATCAGCCGGCCAGTGTAACCTAACCTAACCTAATCAGTTGTATGGGAGCTATATGTTATAGTGGTCCGATTCTTCCGGTTCCGACAAATGATTAATACATTATAAAAATACACCCACCTACCAAATTTCATCCGGATATCTCGAAAACTGAGAGACTAGATTCCATACAAACAGACGGACAGACAGACAGACGGACATGGCTAAATCGACTCAGCTCGTCGTTCTGATCATTTAAGTATACATTTTAATGGGTCTATCTCTTCTTATTCTGGTACTTACAAACATCAGACCAAAGTTATAATATCATTTCATGCTCATGAAAGGTATACAAATTTAATTTGCATGTTGCTTGCAGTGGAATTCGAACCCGACCATCTCCGGATATCAACAACTTGTGGCAAGCATCTTTGCGCACTCAGCTACACCCAGACCAGTGATGCCAGATTGTGGGTAATTTCCCTATTTGAGGGATATTTTGCAACAAAAATTAATAAAAGGGAAAAAGGGACATTTCAAATAAATAAGGGATTTTCTTTTGACGCAGTTATCGTTGCATAATTGATCCAAATTCAAGAATATTCCACATTCTTACGTAATTAATCTTTCTGAAGATGTGATGTGGAGTGAAATGGTATATAATTGTTAAAAAGTTTAAGGAANAGATTGTGGGTAATTTCCCTATTTGAGGGATATTTTGCAACAAAAATTAATAAAAGGGAAAAAGGGGCATTTCAAATAAATAAGGGATTTTCTTTTGACGCAGTTATCGTTGCATAATTGATCCAAATTCAAGAATATTCCACATTCTTACGTAATTAATCTTTCTGAAGATGTGATGTGGAGTGAAATGGTATATAATTGTTAAAAAGTTTAAGGAAAATTTCGAAAACTTTCTTACGTTAACCAATTCAAGCGCTGAGTAAGAAAGAATCTTTTCAGTTGTAACTGGTGTTTCATGTAAAAAGCGGAACAAATTATCTGATGAAATGTTAAATAGCACATGAATGTGCTTCAATTTTAAAGTCACCAAAAAATTATTTTAGGCCCTTAGTGAGTGAGCAAAAAAATGGAATTAAAAAAATGAATGAGTGAAAAAATGCAGAAAAAGGGTTTTTTCTTAACAGCGGTCAGCCCTCGGCAGGCAATGGCAAACCTCCGAGTGTATTCCTGCCATGAAAAACAGCTTCTCATAAAAATACAATCGCCGTTCGGAGTCGGCATAAAACTGTATGTCCCTCCCCTTTGTGTGACAACACAAGCACATATGTGTAAGCGCCAATTATTATTATTATTATTTTATATGATTTTACTTCTTTACTACTAAAACATGTATATGTTTAAATTCGTTGGGAATTTTCTGGGATAAATTTTTAAGATGTGGGTAATTGAGGGATTTTTTCCCCATTTTCGTGGGATTTTTAACAGAGAATATCTGGCATCACTGACCCAGACATATAAATTTGCTTTCAAATGTTGAATATCCATGAGCATCACAGCACGCGATTTGTACGGATAAACATGTACTCTGCATGCTTGGGGTGCGTATTTACACTCATATATATACTCAGATGTGAACAGTCAAATACGTGCGTAATAAATTTTGTATGAATATATTATTTTTAAATACGAACATTTTTAAACGATAATCAAATATAAAGTATTCATTTTTACTATGCATTATTTCCCTCGGTGTTCAATTTTATTAGGTGTTTTTTCTCTNTTTTACTATGCATTATTTCCCTCGGTGTTCAATTTTATTAGGTGTTTTTTTCTCTGTATAGAAAATTTTTAAAATCTCAATAATTTTGTACATTTCAAAATATTCTCATTTTACCAAAATTTCTAGAATCTCCCGGATTTCGATAGTTTTTGAAATTTTAGAAATTATCTAAAAATAAGAAATCTCAAGAAATTTAATAATACTATAAAATTCAAAATTTTGGAATTTTCGTTGTTTTCTGAACCTGCGAAAGTACATTTTCCCAATTTCCCCTACCTGGGTCCGCCACTGCAATACATATATGTCAGCGCGTATTATATATTTTCACTTGCCAAAAAGCGTGCTGGTGGTAACACCGATGAAATATTAATATTAAATCAAAATAAGAATCGGTTCCCTATTGGATTATTTATGATAACGTTTTAAGAAGTTATTCAGCAAGTTTTAAAGATTACAATGTTGTTAAACACCAAAGTTGAGAGAATGTTGTCTGGCGGTGTCATGCGGCAAATGCTTATACATATCAAGACATCAAAGTGCCCACACACAAAAACTTGCAATCATACTGCTCGTCAAAATGACAGTTGGTAGGCCATCGGTGTTTGCCTGTGGAGTTTTGCGGTAAATTTGTATTTTGTTTGTGTAAAATTACTTTAGTATCGGTTTACCGGTTACCGAATAATCCTGGTGGAAGCTTGATAATTTTTCTGGTAGTTGGTAAAATGCAATAAGCTGTACGATATTCATCTAAACTTGAATCCGCCCGTTGCCGAAAGGCATAACGCATTTGAGTAAATAAAATTCCTTAAATTTTTTGCTACAATTCATTTTTTTTTAGGAAAAAAGCTACGAATCAGCTGTTGACAAACATTGTTTACCAGACTAAAGGTGTAGTTAAACGTGGCAATGCTAGCTCTTTTTCAAAGCATTTTGCTGTCAAAATGCGAAATCGAAAGTCTACTTTCCCGTGTAAACAGTCAGAAAGTCCTTTTTGCAGATTTGCAGAAATCACTTTCGGCAATTAAAATTGCAAGGTGTANATTTGTATTTTGTTTGTGTAAAATTACTTTAGTATCGGTTTACCGGTTACCGAATAATCCTGGTGGAAGCTTGATAATTTTTCTGGTAGTTGGTAAAATGCAATAAGCTGTACGATATTCATCTAAACTTGAATCCGCCCGTTGCCGAAAGGCATAACGCATTTGAGTAAATAAAATTCCTTAAATTTTTTGCTACAATTCATTTTTTTTTAGGAAAAAAGCTACGAATCAGCTGTTGATAAACATTGTTTACCAGACTAAAGGTGTAGTTAAACGTGGCAATGCTAGCTCTTTTTCAAAGCATTTTGCTGTCAAAATGCGAAATCGAAAGTCTACTTTCCCGTGTAAACAGTCAGAAAGTCCTTTTTGCAGATTTGCAGAAATCACTTTCGGCAATTAAAATTGCAAGGTGTAACTGCAACTGAAACTACGCAAATCGCTTTCGGGAAATAATTTCAACTTGCTCGTGCAATAAATGTTAAATTGTTTTGGAATATGGTTTTTCATAAAAATTATTGGTTTTATTTCATATTGATGCTTTGATAGTTAAATGAAAAAAGTGATACATATAGATACCTTTTTAAGTATCTTTTCTGCTACAATTTTTCACAAGCCCGCGGTCACACTGATGTTGACTCAGTATTAAAAGAATTTTTATCTATACCTCGGTGAATTGCATGTGACTTTTCTTTGAGTTTTGCTAAATTATATCCATAATTAAATAAAATATGCTGAATAAAACAATGATATTCTTGGTTGTTACGAATGACTTTTAATCAAACTCGGCCCTAAAATTGTATTTCTGATTATGTGTATGCAAATACTTACTCTCTAGCTCGTAGTACTCATTGTCTGGTTTACCGCCGTTTATGTGCAGCTTCGCCATGCGTCGGGCACACTGATCTTCATCCAACCGAATAATTGATTTTAAAAATTCCATCATCTCTTCTTGTGTTTCATGCCACATTGTGGCGCATACGATCAACTGGGGTATTTTGTCGCTTTCCATTATATCAGCTGGCGATTCCGATGACATTTGAATCTTAAGTGTATGTAAAAAATAAATCAAGGATTTTCCGTTACTCTGAATTCTGTTAAAATGCGATTAGATATTTCAGATAGACTCATAACAGCCATAATGTAATACATAAATTAAATTACAGCAAGTCTAACTTCGGTCGGAGCCGAACATTAAATACCCGGCGCACGTACTAAATATATGTTTTTCACCTTTCCGAAAGCTACCGCTACATGGTAAGCCGAGGTATATCAATTTTGAGTAAATTAGCGTCCTTAAATTTCGAAATATTGAAGTTTCAAGCATTTCTGAAATTTACCGTTACAATGTTTTGCTTTCGTGTGGCAAGCACAATAACCATACCGAGTTTGGTACAAATTGGTAGAACGGTTACCGAGACACATATATGTGATCATAAAAGGGCGGTGCTACGCCCATTTTCCAAAATTTCATCATAAACGTATTTCTTGGTAAAGATTTATTCCAAGCATCAATTTTGAATAAATTAGCTTTAATACTTACTGATTTATCGAAGATTTCGTATTTCTCTAAACTACCGTTATTTCGGATGTGGGCGTGGTTATTTTGCGATTTTAAAAACGTTTCGCCATTTGGTATGCTCTACCAAGGCCAACAACTGTGCCAAGTTTGGAAGAAATTGGTGCAGCGGTTACCAAGATATACACATGTAACCATAAGTGGGCGTGGCTACGCCCATTTTCAAAAAATTTATAATATTCTTATTTCTCTTCAACAATTTTTATTGAGCTTTAGGCCGTCTTATTGTGGAAAAGCAACAATAATTTGAAAAAATGGTAGAAGTGATAGCTATTTCGGAAATCACCACATTTCCTCATCAGACTTCTTTCAGCACTGTGCTAAGTTCGCCTTGTGAATTCTTGTTGCTTTTTTCCACTATTGCATTTGTTAAGCCAACTACAATCAAGCGCAGCTATTCCAGTGCTATTTAAACTTGATCATGTGGTTGTTAGTTTTGTTGGTTTTTGTTAAAATTCTATTAATAGAATGTTTAACTTTTAGGTGTGCTTGTCCTTAAGTTATTTGTTTTTGTTATTTTATGGCCTTATAACAATTATATTCAACAATTTTTATTGAGCTTCAGGCCATTGTTAATGTAAGCTCAATAAAAATTGTTGAATATAATTGTTATGAGGCCATAAAATAACAAAAACATTCTTATTTGTCACCTAAAAATTATTGTTAATGTCAATTTTGAGTGAATAATCTTCAGTAGTTACTAAAATATCGCAGTTTTCGTATTTCTGAAAATTACCGTTATATGGGAGGTAGGCGTGGTTATTGTCTGATTTTGCCCATTTTCAATACCATCCGTCCTACGCCCGGAAGAAGTGCACGTATCAAGTTTCGTTAAGATATCTCAATTTTTACTCGAGTTATCGTGTGCACAGACGGACGGACGGACAGACAGTCACCGCTTAATCGATTTTTCTTTTCATTCATGTATACATTTGTCTATATCTGTCTCGATTCGATTTGCCTGTTATAAACAACCGTTATGTGAACAAAGTTATAATACCCTTGTGTACAAGTGCGCTCGGGTATAAAAAGGTATTTGGTAAAACTTGCCAATGTGTGGTGGATTTATAATTATTACGAGCAGTGTTGCCACAAAAAAAAGACCAAATTCCTGAGAAACAAATGAAAAATCCTCAAAATCCGAAAAAGTACTCAAAATTTTCTTATTACAGCTATGAGTACTGTGTACTATTTACAGGTACTTAGTATAAAAATTAATTACATTCTCCAATTCAATTGGTGTATTTGTTCTTGCGGTTCAAACAAAGTATCACCGTTGTTTTTTATGCCTTGCTTTGTATATAATATTGCAGCAACTATATAAGTGCTCAATATGGGCCTCAAGTCAGTCCTACACATTTTTAAACTACTAAATATACGTTCTACTGAAGCATTAGAAAAGGGCTATGTTAGTAATGCAGATATAATTTTTTTTTAATTTGGAAACTTATATGTGACCTGGTCTACGGAAAGGGGGCTTAGGTGTCAAAAAATCAATTTTCACTTTTTGGTTGATTCGGATGGAAGATGAGATGCTTTTTCACGTGGTGAAAAGCAGAAAATCCTAACTTGCTTAGNTTTAAATGTTCCACACTAGCAACTTACACGATGAACTATAATAATATTCCGACCAACAACAACACTTACTGGACCAACAACAACACTTACTGGACGTCCGGCGCGGAGAACAATTAACGAGATAATGAGAAACTGACGAAACGAGTTGCTTACTTTTAACAGCTTTTTCACAGAAAACTAGTTTACGCACGTAAGCTCCCTTTTCGTAGACCAGGTCACATATGAACCTGAAGAATCTTTTAATTCAAAAACTTTTTCCTATAATTTTCTGGATCTAATGAAGAATCAATATAAAAATTCTTATGATCGAACAATGCGTATTCTATCCATTCGGTTTCGAGATTTTGCAAGTTAAAAATAAGTTGAAAATATAACTATGGAAGGAAAAATATTATCGATAACATTTTGAATATTTAGCAGCAAATGCAGATGTGCTTAAGAGCGAAAAACACCATACAAGCGGCCTGACAAACCAAGCGAAATAACCCTTTCCTTAAAGCTATTTATGTTGTGTATGGGTGTGTTTGAAGGTTTGACAAGACGTTTGAGGGAAATGTGAACAAAAATCAAAATTTTTTGATTTTCTGGTCGCCATGTTGACGTTTGATCAAACCGTTTACGTTACAGAATTTTTACCGAATGAGGACGCAAGAGAGAAAAATCGAAGAAAACCAAACCCTTTTACATTGTGAACCGGAAGAAAACTAAAATTCTTTGCTTGTACGAGTCATGTTTGCATGGTGTATGGCGAAATGGGCAAAGTAGGTTTGAAGAATGTTTGACAAGCCACTTGCGTAGATACCCTGCAGGGAAAGCTACTAGTTGTGAACTAGAATTCTACCGGTTTGCGTTTCAGCCGAACTAGTTCACGTTCTATCCTTTTTCAATGTTAGCGACTGGTATTTTTAACATTGCGATGTCCTACGAGATGTCAATTGTCAGGCTATGCATCAGCATCTACTAGTATAAATACTAGTAGCATCATACCAGTTGATGAGATAGTCTGCCAATTCATGCCCCGTGAAAAGCATAAGTGTGCCTTTTTGCTCGCGACGCTCCAGCAGTCACAATGGCCGACAGAGAAGAGCACTCGCGTGGTAAGCCTGAGGTACCAGGTTCAAGTCCTGGCGCAGGTAAAATATTTTTATTTTCTATTTTTTATTTTATTTTTATTTTTTATAAATTTATTTTTTTGTTTATGCTGTTTATTGTAATTTTTTAATTTAATAAAAAAAAATTTTTGTTTAATTTCTTTGTTTTTATATTTCTTCCTAAATGTTTTTTTGCAACGCAATTAGATTTTCAAATTTGTTATTTATTTATAAATTGAATAAATTATTTTTACTTACATTTATTTAACTTTAAAAATCTTAACCACCTCCAAGCGGCCTCGAACCTGCGATTTCAGAACCAGAACCAGTAGTCTTCACGTGACGCCACAGCCGACATTTGTAAGAAAAGCAATTAATTGCGTTTTATTTTTGGCTTTGGCAATTCAAAGGCAGATGTCGCTGATCGCCTAAGTTCTTCGAAATTGTCGAACTGGTAGGCACATACTAGTTAATGAACTAGTATTTTTTCTAACTGGTTTGGCTTTTCACTGCAGGGGTATTTCGCTCTTTATAAAACTTAGGAAAGCTTTTTGTTCAAGAGAAAATTCTTCAAAATAAAAATCCTCAAAAAATACTCAGGCGCCCCCGAAATTCCTCACGTTTTGAGGAATTACTCACAAAGTGACAACACTGATTACGAGGGATATATATATGTAAATATGTATGTATACTAGCGATGTTTCGAATGTCATATTTTTCTCATTCGTGAATGCGAATGCGAATGTTTGGAATAACATTAAAAAAGCTATAATCAACGTTTTATTACATAAAAATTTTGTAAATTATAGAACATTGAACAAGTGCTTAACCTACACATGTATGTATATAGTGCACTATGGTCTGGCGACTATCATTTGGTCAAAAGTCGAGCAGTAACCAAATTGATTTGAAACTTAGTGTTTTGGGAGTTTATGGGGTCGCTGATTTCGAATATAATGTCACATTCTCGAAATTCAAAATGGCGGATCCAATATGGCGACCAACTTCTACCACCATACCTCTTACCTTTCATACCATACTTCTTTACCTTTCACCAAAAACTTATACATAAGCGGGGTTTTCAAGATCGCTGATTTCGAATCTGATGTAAGCTTTTTCGAATTTAAATTGGCGGATCCAATATGGCGACCAAATTTTATAACTTTTTCCTTTTCAGCATAAACTCATATATATGGGGAGTTTACGAGGGCGCTGATTTCGAATCTGATAGCAGATTTTTTAAATTTAAAATGGCGGATCCAATATGGCTACCAAATTTTATAAGTTTTTCTTTTTCACCAAAGACTTATATATAAGTGGGGTTTGGATCCAATATGGCATTATCTGAAAAAAATTTTAGTTTAAAATTTTTTTTAAATTTTGCTATATACTTTTTTCTAATCACAGCTGCTTCAAATAAAAAACTTTTTCCTTTAAATATAAGCTTATATTTGTATTTACTTGAAAGGACACTAGCACAACAAGTATATTACTAATATTAGGCTAGATATAAAGTTGAAAAAATAACGTAACGTACAAGTTTAAACAAAAAAATGCAAGAATGCATTTCGCACCTACCTACTTGCATATCATTCTTGCTATTTCCTTCCGTCTTATAATATTTCGCAGCAAAATGTTTAAAACAGCAGTTTTTTACATCTTTGTTGATTGCTGCTTTTCAAACATCGAAAGGCACGGCAAACCACTCCTTTTCTGATAAAAGAGCCCATTATTCAAAAAATGCAAAAGTGTGCAACATGATTCTCAGCCCACAAACTCTAAATTGAACATTTTTAT